TGAAAAATGAGTGGAACCAGTTAATGCAGTTATTATCTTGTGTATGAGCGGCATTGTTATTTCTTTAAAGAAAATTTAATAAAATCTTAACTAACATAACTATACATGGCTTTTGTGATGCCAGCAAAAATGCATATGCAGCTGTAGTTTTTATAACTGCCCAAACTCCTGATAAACAGATGAGTTTCTTTATCAAGATCTCTCATATTGGCTGGCAGACCCATCTGACATATTCAACAAAAGCAGAACTGATGAAATATCAAATCTTAGCGTGGTCATAAATGCAACCCTAAAGGTCTCTACGAAATTCAGTACAAAATATAGTGAAGTAAAAGAAGCTCTTGAAACCAGTAGCTTAAATATGCGTCATGTAATCAATGTTGAGTTCATTGCACAAACTTTTTAAAGTTACAGCTTATGTGTTAAAATTTATAATTAGTCTTAAGCATCTTATAAATAAAGCCAATAAGCAGACAAAATTTCTTTGCATTGCAGATATTCGAAAAGCTGAAATTCTTTGGATTCGAACCTACCAGTGTGACCTTTCTAACAAAGTGGAAATTCTGAACAACACTTTAGGTCTCTTTGTTGACAATGATAAAGTAGTTCGTTGTAAAGGACGGTTACAAAATTCAAAATTGCCTTATGATTCTAAACACCTAATTTTTCTACTAAGCGAATCTTATTTGTCAGAATTAATAATATGTCAGGCTCATAAACAAACTCTACATGCAGGTGTAAAGGAAACTCTCTGCCAAATAAGGTCAAAATATTGGATCCTACGAGGTCATAAACTTGTACGCTCATTGATAAAAAAATCTGTAAAAGGTTGTTTGGGAAGGCTTTTACATCTAAAGTATCACCACAGTTGCCTTATCGTGTCACTGCAAGTTTTCCTTTCCAGCATAATGGAGTTGATTATTTAGGACCATTGTACGTTAAACCTATATTCGATGATAATTCTTCTGAAATGTATCCTGTGGATGTAGTGTTATTTACCTGCGCCACTACCAGAGCCGTTCACCTTGACTTAGCACCTGCAAAATCATTTATTTTATGCTTAAAATGCTTTATTGGGAGAAGAGGAATTCCAAATCTTATAATATCAGACAATGCCACATGTTTTAAGAATGAAGAAGTTAAATTAAGCGAGGAGCTTTTGTTTTTGGGAATCGATTGGAAATATATTGTAGAGGCTGCTCCCTGGTGGGGTGGTTTTTGGGAACGTCTAGAGCAATCGATCAAAAAATTGCTACTCAAGGTTGTGTTTAGAAGTAGTATCAGATACAATGAGCTGGAATCAATTCTTTGTGAAAATGAGGGTCTTTTCAACTCAAGACTAATAACATACACCTACCATGAAGACACTGAGGAAATTCTTACCCCTTCCCATTTGATGCATGGTCGAAGACTCATTTCACCTAAGAATCTTGGTAAGATTCAGTTAACTAAACAAACGAAATATTTAAAACTGCTACGTGATCACTTTTGGGTAAGATTTACAAGTGAATATTTACTAGTTAATTTTAGAGAATTCCACAAGCAGAGATCCAGTAAGAGTCGATTGATGAAGCTGGGAGAAATTATTGTAATTCACTCCGATATTAAAAGGTACAAACGGCGATTAGGAAAAGTAGTGTCACTGATTACAGGAAGTGATAACATAGTTTGTTTTGCAATAGTAAAAGTCTTAACAGATAAAACAAACAAACAAAGTTATATTAAGCGTCCCATCGAAAAGCTATACCCTATAGAAGTTAAGTCAGACAAAGGAGTAACTGATTCAGAGCTAAACGCCAGCAACTATGCTATAGACGAAAGCACAATTTTTCTGATACAAAATACAAAAGACCTGTACGATGAATGAAAAAAAAAATGTACGAATAGCATCAAGAAACGGAATACTAATAAGAAGGTTAATGGACAATTTTAATTTTTGTAACTACTTTGTTGAACATCTTGTTCAAGAGAAAGTGTGTTAGATCTCTCCGATGGAGAGCTCTAATATTCTTGCCAACCCGTTTTATATGTCTTATTTACTCTAGTAAAATAATTCTAAAAAGAAAGCATGGCGTTTCTCTGCCATTTTAATAATATAAACAACTATTCAGTCTAGATAATCAAAGCAATCACATGGGACCAACATTAACGAACCCCTTAAGTTACAGAAAATGAAGAAGAGTGCTGTCCATTGAGGACAACTTTTATACTACGATTGGAAAGGAAGGATTCAATAATCTTAAAGATGTTACCAGATACACTGTCAGAAGAAAGCTTATGGAGAAGACCAGCATGTCAGACTTTATCCAAAGCTTTAGAAATGTCAAGAGCGATGGCCTTAACCACCTTTATCTAATGTACAATGAAACCTGTTGGTTATTACTGTTAGCAAATCAGCTGCAGAATGAGAAAATCGAAATATATATTGGTGATCAGAAAGTAAGTTATTAGATTCAAAATGAGGGATTGTTTGTTAATTCTGGAGAACACTTCTAAGACTATAACAGGTTTGTTGTCTGGACCACAAGCTGTAAAAGAGTCTAAGCAGGAAATCACTTATACAGATACAGAACCTGGAGTGATACCAATGTCAAGCAATGAATCAACCTGTTTGTTGGCTAAATCAGGTAGAGCGCAACTAGTGGAATCAAGAGATGATATTGATGAAAAATTCTTAGCAAACAATTCAGCTTTGTCTTTAGTTGAGGTGACAAAGTCTGAACCATACAAGATAGGTGAAAAAACAGATTTGCCCTTATTATTAATATTATTAAAGGTTCTCCAGAAGTAACAATAGCCTAATTTTTGTGATGAAGTACGAGATTTCATGACCTGAGAATAGTGGGCTTTGGCATTAAACAAAACCTTTTAACAATGGTTCCTAGCAATAAAAAGAGGTCTATTTTTTGGAGAATTGTTTTGCTGATAGATGTGGAAGTAATGATTTCAATTGGAAATTGCAGCAGCATAATGTGAGGAAAACCATGGAGAAGAGTAAGGCTTGACTTGGAATTGTCGAAAGGGAATAAAAGATTCCATGCTAGCCAAAATCCATGAAATTATGTAAGAAGCACATTTGTCAGCAGGAAGACGAAATATTTCCAAGGGCTGTCACGAAGAAAATCACGGAAAGAGTCCCAGTCAGCTTTAAGGTACTTGTAAGAGGTACGATGATAGGGGGATTCAGATGATGAAGAATGAGATAATAGCTTTAGAGAGATCAAACCGTGATCAGAAGCACTTAAGGGTAAATGCAGAGAAACTGAGCACCAACTAGGATCAGAAACAAGACATAAGTTAAGCAAAGTAGGTATATGATTCCAGTTGTCTGAATTCTTACGAATGTAAATGCCCAGACCAAGCATGTGACTATTGGAGTCTTTACGAATTAAAGGAAGATAACCATTAACACTAAAATCACAAAATGAGACAGCAGAACTCAAATTGGTCTCACAAAGAACAAGTAGATCTGGTGAATTTAGCAAGAGATATGACTCAACAGAAGAAAAGTTACTTCTAAGACCACGAATATTAGTGAATGATAGATTTAAAAAACTTGGTGATGACAATGGTTTTTTGTGTTTTATAGTTTTTGCTACTTTAGTCATTTTAATTGAAGTTGACTCAAAGCATAGATAATTCTCAGTTCACTATTTAATAGTCCAAGCAATTATCTCATTACTATTAATAACCCCTAAGCCGTAACAAAGGGCTCTAAATGTGGCCTCAACAATACCCACCAAAAGTACAAACAGAGGCATCATCCATGCGCAACATGGCACTGTTAGTACTCTGATATTTTTTAGCTGTTGATGCAATCAGTCTCTCTGAAAGCTACCACAGAGTTCAGGAAACCTAACTAGCCATTCGGCCTCAGAACCATAAAACTGAGTTTTAGAGCTATACCCTCATAAGGAGATAATAGAATGAGTTGCCTAGTCATAAAAACAAGCAAAACCCATGCATTGAGTCAAGAAGATCCAGCATTCAACATCCTAAACTGAAAACAATGTATTATAAATACATCTGCGCAAGCCTAATAGATGAGGAAGGGGTGCGAGACTGGTAAACAAATAGAATCTGTTTACCCCTTAAGTCTTTGTCTAGGAGGCCTTCTGCAAGACAGTAGCCAGATGCATTTAACATCTGCCCAAGATGAGTATTTTTATCGAGACACCATCTCTAGCCTTTACTCAATCAAGAGCCCCATTTTATTATTAGCAATATTAGCAATTTTTATAATTAGCAATAAATCATTTTTTTAACTCGAAGTGTTAAATGTTAAGTAAAGCTAATGTGTCCTATTCTTCATTCTACAAAAAAATAATGCTAAAAAAGTTAATTATTGTGGTTATTATTAGTAACTTTCATTTTGAAATACAAAGGAGGAAATGCAATATTTTATAATTTTTGATTTTGCTTTTGAACTTTATGTTGTAATTTTTGAAGTATGACAATAATATATGACAGCTGTCAAAATATAACAGCTGAAATGTTTTATGATTTGCTCAATGCTTTGCACACAACATTGCAATTGTTTTTACATTATTTTTAATTGAAAAAAAATTTTTTTATAAAAAGTGGTTTCATCTACTTTTTGAAAAAGGTTACCCCCAATGACCCTTTATTACTTGCTGGGTCCCATATATTACTAGAATTTTTTTTCTCTGAATGTTTATCAACATGAGTCACAGAATCAGAAATTTATAGAGATTTTAGAAATAATTATTAAAATATGTTTATTCTGGTTCATTATTTCTACATTTTTCTTTTTTCCAAGACTTTTTCAAAATAATTGTATTTATTCTTTGTTTTACTATAAAGCTACCTTTCTTATTTTATATTATATATTTTATTTAACTATAAACTTATTTTATGTTTATATAAAATAAGTTTATAATTATATTATATAAGTTTATAGTTATTATATTATATATCTTATCTAACTATAAACTTATTTTGTAACTTATTTCTAATTGTAGCTTTCTAATCTTTTACAGGAATTATATTATTCTCCAGGCTCATCAAAAGGCTTTTTGACTAATCGATTCAGAGAAATTTATCGTCAATATCCTGCAGAACAGAAAAAATACCGTCCACGCAGTAATAAGTAAGTTTTATGATTTTTAGCTTAATAATTCTTTTTAGTTTCTGTACTTTGCTTTAAAACTATTTTAAATTGTAAAGTTTATATTTCAGTAATAGTATTCAGTAATTTCAGTAACAGTATTCAGTAATAAAATGTCAGAAATAGTATTATATTTTAGTATTATAATTATATATTACACACTATTTAACAAAGTTTTTTTTTGTCCTTGGATCAAGAGTTTGTTTTTATAAGTGGTTTTTCTATAGACAAACAGAAAATAACTGTTGTTACACAAAGGTTTTCTTTTGTGGCCCAAAGAACAACTTTTAAAAGTTTTTATGAAAGTTTTTTTCTTTTGAAATATTCCTAAACTATTAGAATTATTCAGAAAGATTTTCTAAAAAGTCATGTGCATTGCATATAACATGGGAGTATTGCAAGAGAACTTCTAAAGGTAAGTTAAATAATTATTTCTCATGTAGATATACTTTATTTTGCAGAACTTTATTATTTAGATATATCAAAGTTTTCATATATATCTGTATTCTATAGAAAAGTATGTGATATTTCAACATTGTACTATGTTTAAGTGATGTGTAAAATTTCCTGCCTTTAAATTTGTATAATTATTAATATGCGCTATGTTACAGGTTGGTACTGAGAGAAAAAGCTTAATGAAGTTTACTATCCTGAAAATTTTGCAACAGCTAAAAGACCATTAACTCCTTTTGAATTGTTGTTTCCACAAAAACTAGTAACTCAAGTACGAATACACTTTAAGTTGTCCAGTCCAGACTTTCCTTTATCCATTGATCCAGTACTGCACAGCTTCCACTTCCCCTCACAGAAATCAGCCATCTTATAAGAAAGCAGAAATTCTGACAGCAATCAAGATATTAGATATAAAAAATTGTATTTTTGTAGGTGTGCTTGAGGAGAGAAGGCGCTACATTACTTCCCTAATGAAAAAGTCACCATGATCTAATTAGAAAACTAATTCATAGCAAGTCGAATGCTGAGCTGACTCTGATATCCAGGCTAAAACAATGAAGCTTTATGGGTAAAAACCTGTTAGTCATAAATTAGATAGTGTCACTAAACATTTTCCAACATCTTCAGTTAGAAAGATCACCTTCTACAACAATGTGGTCAGTCCTTTTGAGACTATTGGTATTACATATACTCAGGTTACAACCTGAATAAATGATGCCTATTTATAGACATTTCATTCCTTAAAGTCATGTTGCTTCACAATGAAAACAACTGCCTGCACATTGTGTGTCTTAAAGTGTGACTAAATATGACTTGTTTGTGTGCATGGTGTGTAAACAAACACATACAAATAAACAAAGTAAAATGGAGTATTAAACAAAAAAGATTTTTTTTTTTTTAAATACTCCATATTACAATTTATGTCAGTAACTTTTTTCCAGCTTCAAGTTTGTACATTTTGGAACAAGTAAAAATTAAAACCCATCAATAATGTCATTACAATGAGTAAGGAATTATTTAATATTCATTTTTCACATATTTTAGTCATCATTCTAATCACCAATATGTTTGCGGGTTTTTTTGGTTCCTATCACTTTCAATAAATGTAATGTAGTTGTAATATTTGAGAAAAGATAAATATTAGGAACAGAGTGATTCTTCTCAAAATTTTAAAATAAATATCTAATATCACTTTGGAGATGAAAACATCACCATATGCAAGACTGTAACTTCAAATCTATATGCATTATGGAAATCAAAAAAAAAAGAAAAAAATTAAACAATGAAGCATTTTAACTTAAAAAAAAAAATTGGCCTAAAGATAAGAATATATTTCAAATAATATATTAAAACAACAATTTAAAAAAGAAAGCCATAAAAAAAAAAGATAATTGGTAGAACTGTCTTTCTCTAGTAAGCATTTATTTACTCTCCCTGGCATTAAATATACAAGATGTTCAGGTATTTTTTTAGGCACATGGCCAAGCAAAAATCTTATTACAGTTTGAAATTGTTCAACATTTAAAATTTTTCCAAGATAAAAATCTAACCATGCCCAAAAATTTTCTATGCAAGTCTGGGCTGTTAACAGGCCAGACTTTATTAAAACTGGGTTGTTTTCAAATAGTTGTTTACAGTATAGCACAATGCACCATCTTGTTGATATATGATATTGCTGTTGTCTACTTTAAATATATTGAGGGAAGTAGGCAATTATCTAAAATTTCGATATATCTATAAACATTAAGTCGACCTTCAAATAATTGATAGCATCTAAGTCACTAGCCTGCTCAATTTGGTTTAACGTACAATTCAAATCAAATGTCTCATGAGGTAATTGCAGCAGCAAAACACAATATTTTTGCATATCTACCTCAATATTCGTTTCATCTATAAAAATATATAGAATATAACATTTTAACTATCAGGCCATTTGATAGTTAAAATGTTATATTCTATATATATATTTATAAGCAAGGATTGCACCAGGCAATCCTTGCTTTTTGCTATTTTTTTGAAAGTCTTGCTTGCAGACTGCCACATATAATTATTTCTATGAAGAATTTTAAAAATAGTTCTTGCACTCACATTTATTTCAAAAGTATTTTTCAACTTATGGCAGGAAGCGTTTGATGATAATTTTCTGACATGCAGTGACAATTCTGTCATTAAGCAAATTAATAAACATTCATCTCTTTGTGTTGTTATAAATGGCCGACCAGATCATCCTTGATCTTTATTGTCATCTGTTTCAGTATATCATTTTAAAATAGGTGTAGCAACTGAATATGCAATATTTAACTTATTTGACGATGAAATGTCCTTGGTTTTGAAGAAAAATGGATTTGTAACGTGTTTTTTCAGAAAATCTCGACCGTGATTTTGGAGTTTTATACTGTAATTCTTTGCTCATTTTGTAACTTTTTAATCATTTAATTTATTTGTGTTTTTATTAGTAATATTTCAAAATAAAAAATAAAAAATTTAGAGTTAATAAATGCTGATGAAAATTAAATTAAAGTTATCAAAGAAAATCATCAATTACATTAGTGTTAAAAATCATCAATACATTACATTAGTGTTAAAAATAAAGCGGCGAGCCTTTAGTTTTAAGGAAAAAAACATGTCAATAAAAAAACTTAAAATTAAATTAAAAAACATGATATTAATTAGATCTGATAAAATACAGAAAATGTTGAAAAGATTTCCAAATAATTTTAATCAAAAGTATATTAATAAAACAAAAACGAGTGAGATCTTATTTATTACCAATGGTGTATAATTAAGTATTAACAAGAGTAGTTAGGATGTATTATATGATAAAATAGCAGCCGTAACGCAATGAATAGAATGCTTCTCTTAGAAGCTAGAGATCCGTGGTTCAACACCACCTCTGGGCAAGTTTAAAAATTGGTAAGAAAGAAAGTGTGAACTTCCTTTCAAATGCTCTTCTGCTGTGCGCTGTGATAATAAGACCATAAAGATTTTTTTGGGCACCTAAGATAAATATAAAGTTAATAAATAAATAATATAATAAAAGTACAAATTAGTTATAGATTTATTAATAGAATATAAATAGTAGATTAGTTAGGATATAGTTAGGTTATTAGATTAGTAAAAAAGTAATCAGGATTTAATATTAGAAAATTATAAAAGTAAAAATTATTAAAAGAAAATAATAAATTTGTATGAAAATAAATTACAAGCAGGCGAAGCTCTTTATTTGTGGTACCTAATTTAATTGTAGGAAGGGGTGAGAAGAGTTTGTAAGCACTGGATGGCAATCTTCATATCAAAACACGTGCACACTAGGAAGATAATCTAGATTAACCTAGTGCCTAATCTAGGTAACCTAGCTGATGATATACCTATTACTCAAAATCAAGTTGGAATTCTTCCCTCCCTCATCCCGACCGCGTCATAAACCTCGTCATAATCTTTAATCTTTTTTTAAAATCAGATTATTTTTCTTTTGTTTAAAGGTAAAAAAAATATATATAGCGTTAAAAAATATATATATATATAAGAAGCAAATTTTTGTTATTAAAAATCAGATGGAATCAAAGAACAAACCATTACAACAGTTCGATAAACCAATACCTGTTGCAGTTGTAAAACCGTACAAACCAGAACAACCAAAACCAAGTATATATATGTGCGATAGAAGTGGTAATCAAGTACATAGTTGGGAAGTATATTAAAAGCTATTATATCAATTATAGAAGTTCTTTTTTGCATTTTAAATGGAAGTTTTAAATTTTATTTAAAAAAGTGCAACACAAATATACAAGTTTTTTCAACCTGTTGGAAATTTTGTTATATCAAGCTCTTTAAAAACATATAACTATATAAAATCTGAAAAGTTTGCAAAATTGTTGCTAAAAATTTTCTTGTTTCCGTTGCAGCTATTACTACTGGTATTATTTTTTATTTTTGCGTGCCTTATTGGAATTATTCATTTTATTCTTTGTCTGATTATAATCAAAATAAATGAATATGTACCTGAAAGAAATGAAGACAAAATGTAGAGAAGTGTTAAATAATACTGACAAAAGAAAATATAAATCAATCGAAGAAATGATGGACAAGTTAGATTGTATTGCAGAAATAACAAACTTTACAAATTTAAAAGAACTTTATGATTTTTGTTTTTTATTAACGTGTATACGAAAAAAATATTTTTATATTATTGTTATTGATACTCCGGGTTATAACGAGAAACAATCGAGTTTCGAATCGTTTATCATTTGGAAATTTATAGTTTTTAATTTCTTCAATTTTTTTAACTTTTACCATTTTTAACTTTTTAACAACTTTTTATCAATTTAATTTGACAAAATGTTTTTTTATATATTTTTTTTGTAACGCTGGATTACCTTTAAACAAAAGAAAAATAATCTGATTTTAAAAAAAGATTTAAGATTATGACGAGGTTTATGACGCGGTCGGGATGAGGGAGGGAAGAATCCCAACTTGATTTTGAGTAATAGGTATATCATCACCTAGCAAATAAAATGCTTAAAATTTTCCATGTTATTTGTAAATTAATAGCGTTCTAAAAAATAGATTAAATCTGTGCAAGTGTGGAATGATGTTAAACTTTTCTTGAGAAAGAGTTGCCTGGGTTAGCGATATATCTTGATGTACAATGTTGAGAATTTTCTAGCAACTTGTTGAGTTGAACCTAACAAGTTGCATTTGCTGCAAAAATAAAAAAGAATATATGAAAGTTGTATGTAAAGCTGAATATAACTGAATATTAGAGTTTGAATGTTGCCATTCATCAATATAGGAATATCAACAATGTTGTGAAAGTTATTAGCATTTTTTCAGCCGAGAACCAAGAGGCCGTATGTCCACATTTTGTATTTTTTCTGTTTATTATCAATAAATGATCAACAATCAATTGAGTATGTGTCTAATAAATCTAGTCTCAAGAATAATACAACTTTTAAAAATATTTAAAAAATTAGTCGGACATTCTCGCAGAAAGCCTTTACAAATTAAATTTTAAAACTTGATTTACTCGAAAACACAAAAAATGGGCATATGGTCTCTTGATTCTCGCCTGACGATTTAGCAATTAAATCTTGTAAAAATTTATGAGGTTTGTAAATATTTACCAGTCACTGCCATCCAGGTTACTACAGAGTAGAGATTCTATTTAAGATCTGTTCTAAATAGTTAATGAGTGACTGATTTTCAAGACTGGAATTTATATAAACTTTTACTTGCTTGTTTGCTGAGTTCTAATGTACATAATATTTTTATTATTATTAAGGTGTACTAAATTATTATTGAATTGATATTGAACTGATATTGAATCGATATTGAACTGATATTGAATTGATGTTGAATTGATATTGAATTGATATTGAACTGATATTGAACTGATATTAAATTGATATTAAACTGATAATGAACTGATATTGAACTGATATTGAATTGATATTGAACTGATATTGAACTATTGAAATTAATATTGAACTGATATTGAACTATTGAAATTGATATTGAACTGATATTGAACTATTGAAATTTTCAAGTATTAACTATAGCCTAGACTATAAAATAGCATCCAGTTTGAGATTTAACCTGACAATTTAAAATGATATATGATGAACACACTATAAAAGGTATTATGGAAACAGAAGGTGAACTTTATTTTTTGACTTCAGAGTCAGAAGAAGAATAGGAGTATCTTCCAACTCAAATGTACGCCTAAACTATGTACATTTTTAATGTTAACGTCAATAGATTAGATGGCTTACGATTCATCATAATTTATGCATCAAAAAAGACATTTAAGGGGAAAAAAATGGTCCCTGATGTTGTAAATTTGAATTATGTTTGCCTGATAGACTGTGGAGCTGTTAATTGCCAATGTTGTTACTCAGGCACTTGACCATGGTTTCTCGGAAATAATGTTCAAATAATCTCAAAGTTCAATCAGATGGAATAGAATAAATGAAAAACATATGACTGTTGCAATAGATGATAAAGGGTTAGACCAATATTGCAACACAATCATGGCAAAATCCTAACATTGATGCATAAAAAATAAGGATCAAACAGCTGTTATTGTTACAGGAAATGGCCACAAAAAAAAAACTGTTAGTTTCTTTAGAATTTTAATTTAGAGAAACAGTAGAAGATAAAGCAAGTTGTTTAGAAATGTAATTAACAAAAACAATCTACTTTCAAAAATCAAAGGCCTTGCGTTTGTTAACTGCTATCAATACAGGGTTTCATAACAGTGCATGTGTTAAAAATTGAGGAGCTCTGAGGCATGGTCTGGATTGCTCTGGGAAATGGTCTTAATCATCAAATTATTAATTAAATATTTTCACATCTCTGTTTGGTTCAATTAGATTCATCAACTTTTTATCAAGATGCTTCTTGTAAAGCAATTCATGAGTTGTATTATGATTATTGTGTAAGAACATAAATGCTTATCTATTTACCAGCTGCTTTTGTAACACAGCAGCTAAAGGACAATTATCAGGAATTTCTATATTTATCCTTCAGGTTTTGAGGTGAACAGAAAGACTGTAAGAAATTTTAAACTTTCAAATCCACATATTATGCGAGATGGATAGCAAAGATATATATATATATATATATATATATATATATATATATATATATATATATATATATATATATATATATATATATATATATATATATATATATATATATATATATGTATGTATATATATATATATATATATATATATATTTATATATATATATATATATATATTTATATATATACATGTATATATATATATATGTATATATATATATATATATATATATATATATATATATATGTTACGATGTTGCATTAACATCACAAAATCATCTCTGCAAACAATTCTCTGTAAATCTGATTTGTTGCAATCCCTTCCTATAAAGTAGTATGCAACTTTATGCAAATTTTTTGTTAATTAAAGTAAACAATTGATTAATGACTAATAAACGCTTACTTAATGTTGAAAAATAAAATATATTTCCATTAATAAATGCAAAAATATAATCCAACTCATTTTTACATACCTAAAATTTTATTTGTTAAATTACTTATTAATGCATGAGCGCGAAGATAAAAATTTCGCGCTCATGCAAATTATTTTCAATCAAATATTATTAAAACTAATATGATGTACCGAATTTGTCCATGTCACTAAATTTGAAAAACTGCTTTGTAAAAGTCTATAGCATTAAACCGTAAACGAAGTTAAGTATGCTGTACTGCTTATGAGATACATGAATATGATAACTATATATGGAGTCAAAGTTTACCAACACATGTAAGGTGTAACATGTAACGTGTAACATGTAAAGTGCAGCGTGTAACATGTAACTCGTAGTGTTTAATATGTAACGTGCATCGTGTAACATGTAACGTGCTGTGTAAAATTTAACGTGCAGCGTATAACATCCCTTACGGAAAATTCCCATGAAAAACCCATGAAAAAAACCCATGGAAAAACCATGGTTATTTGGAACACGTTTTCATGGGAAACCCATAAGTTTTCCATGGGAAATCCATAAGTTTCCTATGAAAACCCATGAATTTTCCATAGAAAATCCATGAGCTTCCTATGGGAAACCCATGAGTTTTCATGAGTTTTCCATGGAAAACCCGTGAGTTTCTCATGAAAAATTCCACGAGTTTTTCATGGAAAAGTGTTCCAAATACCATGCATGTTCAATGAGATTTCCATCCATGGAAAAAACCATGGAATTTCCATAGGTATTAGGAACACCTTTTCAAGGAAAACTCGTGGATTTTTCATGGTAAAAAAGCATGATTTGTTTTCAAGTTTTTTTGATCTAATGTTATTTGAATTGTCATATTAAATCATAAAAGCAAATTTTATCACACTAATATTATTGAGTTCTCTTAATCTATGGGATCGCTTTCTCCGAAAAAAATCAATAAACAAAATAAAATTTAAATCTTGTTAAATCCTACAAATCTTTGAAAAATAATAGCTATAATGCACCTAAAACATCAAAACTTGACTTCCCCACAATATTTAATGCACGCATATGTATAACATACTGAAAATAAATAAAACAAAAAATTACAAGTAATATAATACTATAAGTGATATATATAGTGATAAACAATTGAAATTTATCAAGAAAACAATTTTTACAGAAAATAAAACAATTTACATGTTTATTATTTTATATTAACTATTTGATAAAAATAGTATATATAAATTTGATAATAACTTAAAGTTTTAACAAGTTAAAAAGAACCATCAATACAACATATTCAATCCAAAAAAAACATCAACCCCATTTATAAGTGCAACTGCATTGTGTCTGTAGAAACAGGTAGATGTCAAACAAAGTACCATTCACATTTTGATATTCATTATTTTTTCACCGTAGTTAGTCTCATTCTCCATTTCACCAATCTAGACAATACATCATACAATTATTATATACATTCTAACTAGTTTTCTTTATTTACTGATTCATTTTACTAATAATTATTATCTATTATAACTTACTTTATAGTTAGGCATTATACACAATTATGAATGTTGCCAAATGTTAGGTAACATTTATATAGAAAAAAGTAGCAATGAATATATCATTATTTATAAATAACAATTATTAGATTATTACCTCTTTTTCGCCTTAGCTATCTGGATTATGTACAACATCGTTTATATTTCCAGTCCTGCCTATAATGTAACTGCCTAATTAAAATGATTTATTCAAACTAATACATATATAAATGTTACCTGCATGTTAGAAACATTTATATAGAACAAGGCAGCAACAAATATTATATTAAATATTTATTTTTGTAATTAAAAAAAAAACTTACTTCTTCTTCTGAGCTATCTGCATGATGTACAACATCATTTACAAACCTGTTTCTTCATGTCCTTACCATCTTTAAATATATTATAAAGCACCGGACTTGTAAATGAACGGCTAAATAAATAAATTAAAAATTTATATTGCAAGTCAAACCTGCCTGCTAATAATGTAGTAATTTAAATGAAAGGATAAGCTTAAAATGAAAAGATTTATACACATATATAAATTTTACCTGCATGTTAGTAACATTTATATAGAACAAGACAGCAACAATTATAGTATAACTTATAAATTGTAATTTTAAGTAAAAACTTACTTCTTTGTCTGAGCTGTCTGCATGATATACAACATTATTTATATTGCCAGTATATATTATAATGCAGGTAAATTTGACTGTTTAAGATAAAATGATAAAGTTAAAATAGAAGAACTTATGCACACACCATTAAATTCAAAAATTTATTATATTTTTACTTTACTATTTAAAACATAACAAATTTATTAAATATGTAACTTATAAATGATAGTAATGTATATCAAATAATAAATATCAAAGTGTGTGCATAAATTAATTTATTTTAACTAAAGACGAGCACTTTACATTAGTTAAATATAAACAAATAAAAATAATTGTATTTTAATTAATAATAGTGTATTATTTATAAACATTGCTTTTATATGCTTATATTTAACTACGAAGTAAAATCTTGTGCATTAATTAAGTTCCCTTTCTGATACTTTTATAACATTACCACAGTTTTCGTTCTCCAACTAAGTGGTTCTTGGAACATTCTTTCAAGTTGAATCCCAGAGATTACGTTTATATCTTTTCTGGTTAGTTTGAACTCAATTCACTATTTTATTTTGACAGCTTTTGAACTATTTAAAAAAATATTAAATGCATATAAAAACTGACGATGTTATAAACAATATAAACGATGAACAACATTATTTATATTGTCAGTCAAACCTGTCAGCTTATAATGTAGTTATTTGAACAAAATAATAAAGTAAATATAAAAGAATTTGTAAACAATATTTATATTACATTATTTACATATTTTAATAATTCTAAAGAAAAAAACAACAACAAAAAGACAAAAACAACTTAACAGAACTAAAACTGAATAGAACATTTATGATAAAAAAACGTTTTTTAATACTTAATGAACATTTACCGTACAATTAACTTCAAGCATTTTTATGTAATCTGAGGATTTTATTAAAAAAAAATAAAAAAGATTATACTAGTTATCCTTTGTACATTAGTTATCTAATCTTATTATCTTGTCTTATCTTAGTTATCTAATCTTATCTGATATACTGCATATGTATTAATATTTTAGATAAGTTTGTTTAATATGTTATATAAGTTTTATAATAATAATTATAAAAGTTTTAATGTACATTAGATTACACTATGTACATTAATACACTAGTTATTTAATGTAGATTAAAACTAAACGTTTATTTGTTGTAAACCAAATAATAATTATTTGGCAAATAATTTGCCAAGTAAGCATTAAAATTTAAACTGGTTTACTTGACATACTTGCTATACTATTGCAAGTTATGCAAAGCTACTGGAAACAGTTAAAATAAGTATATCCATAAATGATATAAAATTAAATATAATTAAAAATAATCCATTTTATTATTCACATTTTGATATTCATTATTTTTTTCACCGTAGTTAGTCTCATTGTCCGTTTCCATTGACCAATCTAGACAATCATATAACTATTATATACTTAGTAACTAATTTTCTTTATTTACAATTCATTTTACTCATAATTATTATCTATTATAACTTACTTTATAATAAGGCATTATACACATTTATAAATGTTGATAAATGTTAAGTAACATTTATATAGAAAAAAGAAGCAATGAATATATCATTGTTTATAAATAGCAATTAGATTTTAGATTATTACCTCTTTTTTGCCTAAGCTATCTGCATTATGTACAACATCGTTTATATTTCCAGTCAAACATTCCTGCCTATAATGTAACTTAAATAAAATGATTTATTCAAACTAATACATATATAAATGTTACCTGCTTGTTAGTAACATTTGTATAGAACAAGGCAGCAACAATAATAGTATTACTTATAAATTGTAATTTTAAGTAAATACTTACTTCTTTGTCTGAGCTTTCTGCATGATGTACAACATTTATATTGTCAGTCAAACTTACCTGCTTATAATGCAGTAATTTAAATAGAATATTAAAGTTAAAATAAAAGAACTTATGCACACACTATTAAATTCAAAATTTTATTATATTTTTACTTTACTATTTAAAACATAACAAATATAATAAACATGTAATCTATTAAGTATAGTATGTAAATGTTCTATTATTATGTTGGTGAATTGTACGTGTTAGAAATCACGTAGATGCGTGTTGAAAGTCACGCATCTACGTAAGTTATTTCAACTGTAATTAACAGTATATTCTCATGGGACTTTTTAATTTAGTATATATAGAGAAAAGATTTTTGTATAGGAGGTTAGAAAGAATATATAAAGCTATAGATTATAAACGTTATTAAATTAAATGGATGCGACGATAAAACAAGCTATTTCGGCCATTATGCCATCGGTATTCGATGGCAACCATCAGCGGTTCGTCCGCCAACTACGAACATACATAACTGCGATGGACGTACCCGAATCCAAAAGAAAAACAATAATATTAACATGTTTGCCACCACAGATTTATTCCGCACTAGAAGATCTATGCTTGCCTGCATACCCTGAAGATGACTCAGTTACCTACGAAGACATCGAGGAAAACATCATGAAGCTTTTTAAACCGAAGTCATCGTTAATATTACGCTTTGAATTTGCAACTATAAAAAAAGCAAGTAACGAAAATGTGACGGAATTTTCACGACGGATTACAAGAGCTGCTGAAGGATGCAAATTCACGGATAGAGATGATCGAATGCGCGACCAATTCATCACGGGTTTTAACGATGGTGTTACAATCAAACGGTTACTACTGGAATCTGAAGAACTAATTTTTAGAAAGGCTGTGGAAATAGCTGTTACCCTTGAACGAGTAACCCAGGAAGCTCGACAATTAGATGGTTCCGAGAATGTAATGATTGGCGCAACATCGTTACTTTCACGGACGTCTGGTGCGTCCGACATAAACAAAGTTAAATGTTTCAATTGTGGAAAACTTGGACATTTTGCAAGGGACTGCGAAGAAAAATGCAAGACTTGTTCACACGATCATCAAGCTAAAAACTACTTTAAACGATTGCAAGGTTTAAAAGGAAAAGGGAGAATCTGAAAATAATGGCATCTAGTATTCTCCCAGGAATGACGTTGCCATCATTAAAAGTGAAAATAAATGGAAGGCTCCGAACAGCATTAAATGATTCTGGATGCTCCATTACTGTGGTTCATGCTGAGTCCGCGCATGGGCTTGTGTTAAAAAGTCAAAAACTTATCATAACTTTGGGAGGAACTGTGCAAGTGCTGGGTGAAATGGTAATCAATCTGGAAATGGATGGAATACACCGGATGGTTAATTCTCTGGTTGTAAAAGAAAAACCGTTTGGGTTTGATTTGATTTTTGGAATGAATGCAATTAAAAAATTTGGAGGAGTTATCATTTATGGTAATAAAAACTGTAACGTCCGAATGTTAGCATGTGACAAAGCGAAATGTGGTGCCGTTACTACGACGAGAAAAAACGAAAACGAAATAAACGAATTAAAAATTGATGTTATTAATACGACAAGAAAAAGCGAAAACGAAGTACAAAAAATAAAATGTGATGTCAAAAATACAACAAGAAATGAAGAGAGCGAAAGAAACGAAATAAAACATCAGGACTTCACAGCAAAGTTCGACGGAAAAGAATGGACGGCATCATGGAACTGGAATAAAGAGCCTGTAATTGATAATACCATTTGTGAATACAAGATGAAACAAGAGCACGAACGTAGTTACCGTAAAGAAATACGTGAATGGATTGACTCTGGTATTCTTGTACCATATAACGAACTAATATTGGGACCACCAAAAGTATTGATACCGCTTATGTGCGTAGTGCAAGAAAACAAGGACAAAAAGGCAAGGGTTGAATTAACGCATCGCGATTTGCGATATCTGTTAAATTATCTGGTCTTCAAAGTTTCAGTTTATGGAAAACCACGAAATTTACGGAATAGGCGAATAAACTTTAATTTGTTAGTGAAAATGTTATAAAAAACAAAACAATAAATTTATGACTACAAAAGTAATAACACTACAGTGTTGTTACTTTTATAACACTCTTTTAAGTTACATTTATAGTTTATTGTTTGATCAAACAACACATAATCAAGATATTATAAATAAAAATGATTTAGTTAAGTAATTCCAAACTTTAATTAAAGTAGTAATGCATCTAAAAAAAGTACAATGGATATTTAAACAATGTTAAAAACCTCAGCAACTTTTACGAATACATATTTTTATAAACAGTTTAGCATTTCTAAACATCTTACTAACGGTCCGGAAAAAACGCGCGTTTACTTTAAAATCAACCAATGAAAACACTGGTAATTTACTTTTTAGGAGAAAATGTTAAAAGGGGAGGAGGGGGGGTTGCTAAAAACTTAAATTTTGTTTTATTATTTAATCAATAAAAGTAAAGACAAAAAAATATATTTCTAAATATACTTCTTTATAACTAAAATTTATTAAATTGAACACCTCTGTTTTTAGTTTTAAGTAAATGTCAGTACTACTCTCAGTGGCGAAACTGCGGAGGAGGGGAGTTAATTTTAAAGTAAACGCGCGTTTTTTCCGGACCGTTAGTAAGATGTTTAGAAATGCTAAACTGTTTATAAAAATATGTATTCGTAAAAGTTGCTGAGGTTTTTAACATTGTTTAAATATCCATTGTACTTTTTTTAGATGCATTACTACTTTAACTACAGTTTGGAATTACTTAACTAAATCATTTTTATTTATAATATCTTGATTATGTGTTGTTTGATCAAACAATAAACTATAAATGTAACTTAAAAGAGTGTTATAAAAGTAACAACACTGTAGTGTTATTACTTTTGTAGTCATAAATTTATTGTTTTGTTTTTTATAATATTTTCACTAACAAATTAAAGTTTATTTGCCTATTCCGTAAATTTCGTGATTTTCCATAAACTGAAACTTTGAAGACCAGATAATTTAACAGATATCGCAAATCGCGATGCGTTAATTCAACCCTTACAAAAAGGTACGTCCAGTGGGAGATTTCCGAGCTCTCAACGAATTTGTAAATTGTCATACGGCAAATGCGGACGTTTGTCAAGAAAAACTGCGTTGCTGGAGAAAAATAAAAAATGCAAAAATTCTCGATCTTAAAAAAGCCTACCTCCAAATTCATATTGATAAAAAACTTTGGCCATATCAAACGGTGATTATAAATGGGCAACGGTATTGTTTTACCAGGATGTGTTTTGGCATCAATGTGGCTCCAACAATAATGACCACAATTCTTCGGCATGTTCTTAATTTAAATCCAACCGTAAAGAAAGCATGTGATAACTACATTGATGATATATTTGTGGATGAAAGTGTGGAAACTGCGAAAAATGTAGCGAAGCATCTGCTTAAATTCGGATTACAATGTAAACCTCCACAAGATCTTGAACAAGGACGTGTCAGAATTGAGAGTCGAAAGAAATAAAAATGGGGAACTGATATGGAAACGAGACAATGTGGTACAATTCGAATCTTTAAATCCAGTCACACGATCACAGCTTTTCAGCCAGTTAGGCAAACTTATTGGACATTACCCAGTGGCAGGAAGTTTGCGTTTACAAGCTTCATACATCAAGCGTTTAGCTGGAAATATACCTTGGTGTGATTTTATTTCTAAAGACTGTAAAGAAAAACTGAAAGAGTTGCTTTACCGTGTGGAAAAAGAGGATCCGGTTGGTGGAAAATGGCTGGTACCAGTTAATGGAAAAGCTGAGCTTTATTTTGATGCATCATCTATAGGACTTGGGGTAGTTCTGCTCATTGGTGGAGTAGTTGTTGAAGACGCAGCATGGCTACGGCCAGCGAGTGACACACACCATATCAATATAAGTGAACTGGATTCTATACTTCGAGGACTAAACTTAGCTAGTAAGTGGGGCATAAAAGAGTTAACAGTATACAGTGATAGCAAGAGCACCGTAGGATGGTTAAACGCAGTTTTGAAGGAAGAATATCGCGTAAAAACTCGGGGAATTTCTCAATTGTTAGTACAAAGACGATTGAATACTATTAAGGAAGTGGCAAAAGATATTCAGATCGCAGTACAATGGATTCCATCTGAGATAAATTTGGCTGATCGACTCTCACGAATCTCTCAAAAATGGTGCAGAACAGTGTGTGCAGCTGGATTACTTGAACAAAAAGACATATGGAAAATTCATTCAATTGGTCATTTTGGTGTTACTCGAACATTACAACTTTGCTTGCGAAATAATCAGAATGTATCACGTAAGGAGGTTTCAGCAGTAATTGCGAATTGTAACCAGTGTAACTCCATTGATCCTTACTCCGTAAAGTGGAAGAATGGCCAACTAAGCGTAGAAAAAAATTGGAATCGGGTTGCCATTGACGTTACGCATGTCGGTGCTGAACTGTACTTATCAATGATTGACTGTGGTCCATCACGGTATACAATATGGCGTAAACTTGCAACTAAAGCAGCTGCTGAAGTTGTTGGTAGACTCGAAGAAATATTCTCTTTATTTGATCCGCCAGTATGTCTTCTAATGGACAACGAATTTCGGTCCAACACGTTAACAAGTTTTGCTGAAGAATGGCATGTTAATTTGGAATATCGAGCAGCACATCGAGCTCAAGGTAATGGTATAGTTGAACGTATACACAGAACGATAAAAAGAACGGTCGCTCGCTCACATTGTTCAATCGCTCTGGCAGTCTTGCTGTACAACGAGACAATATCATCCAATTGTACTGAAAGTCCATCCAAGCAATTCAAGAAAAGATCGACATGTTTCATCCCAGGCGTCGATACTCGGAGGAAGGTAGACGAGAAAGGCGTAAGCAAGAAATTCAAAGTGGGTGACAATGTTTGGGTAAAACCAACTCAAGAAACAAAATGTGACCAGCCGTGGATACCAGGCGTAGTACGAAAGCAAAATACTTTGTCGTTTGACGTGGAAACTGCGAATCGGGTATATCCGCGTCACATTTCACACCTGCGTCGCCGTACAGACGTACAGGGTTCAAATGAATCAGTCAACGATGTTTTGTATAGACTAAACGATAAAACTGATAACGTTAAAGGAAGTTATAATGATGATGTCGCTCAAGTTCAAAATGATTCTCAAGAACTCAACGTGCTGCAAGTAACACGCTCCGGACGAACAGTAAAGCCCCCACAAAGATTAGACTTATGAGTTAATTCACCAAGAGGTCATGTTCTATTATTATGTTGGTGAATTGTACGTGTTAGAAATCACGTAGATGCGTGTTGAAAGTCACGCATCTACGTAAGTTATTTCAACTGTAATTAACAGTATATTCTCATGGGACTTTTTAATTTAATATATATAGAGAAAAGATTTTTGTATTGGAGGTTAGAAAGAATATATAAAGCTATAGATTATAAACGTTATTAAATTAAATGGACGCGACGATAAAACAGTAAAAGCATAATAAATATTAAAGTGTGTGCATAAATTAATTTATTTTAACTAAAGACGAGCACTTTACATTAGTTAAAAATAAACAAATAAAAACAATTGTATTATAATAAATAATAGTGTATTATTTATAAACATTGCTTTTATATGCTCATATTTAACTATGAAGTAAAATCTTCTGCATTAATTAACTTCCCTTTCTGATATTTTTAAAACATTACCACAGTTTTCCTTCTCCAACTAAGTTGTTCTTGGAACATCCTTACAAGTTGAATCCCAAAGATTACATTTGTATATTTTCTGGTTAATTTAAACTTAATTCATCATTATATTTTGACAGCTTTTGAACTATTTTTAAAAATATCAAATGCATAAAAAAACTAACAATGTTGTAAACGATATAAATGATGAACAACAATATTTATATCGCCAGTCAAACCTGTTGGCTTATAATGTAGTAATTTAAATAAAATAATAAATTAAATATAAATTGTGTATAAAAGAATTTATACACAAGCTATTAAATTATTTACATATTCTAATAATTCTAAAGAAAAAACAACAACAAAAAGACAAAAACTACTTAACAGAACTAAAATTTAATAAAACATTTATCATAAAAAAAACGTTTTTTAATACTTAATGAACATTTACCATACAATAAACTTCAAGCATTTTTATGTAAAGGCTATTAAAAAAAATTAAAAAAGATCGTACTAGTTATCTAATCTTACTATCTTATCTTAGTTATCTAATTTTATCTGATACACTGCTTATAAATTAATATATTAGATAAGTTTGTTTAACATGTTAGATAAGTTTTATTATAATAATTATATTAGTTTTAATGTACATTAGATAACCAGTGTATTAATATATTAGTTATCTAATGTACATTAAAACTTAATAACGTAGGGGGCATCCATAAAATACGTACGCAGTAAAATCACTGATTTAGAACCCCCTCCCCCTTGTACGAACCTGTACGCTTTTGAAGACCCCCTCCCCTCCGCGTACGTACGCATTTTTTATTTTCAAAATTAACTCGATTTTTTTTCTCTCATTATTTATAAAGAATTAAAAAAAAAATTGAAACTGAAGTCAGAAAAAAAAACACAATTCTGATTTGTTACACACGTGAAATTCAATGTTTTTTTTTAAAAATAAAATGTTTAGGATAGTCAAACCGCGTACGTACTCACTGTCTTTAACACCCCCTCCCCCCTTGTACGCGTTTGTACGCTTTTGGGAAACCCCCTCCCCCTCCCCCAATACCTACGTACATACTTTATGGATGGCCCCGTACATTAAAACTAAAAGTTTATTTGTTGTAAACCAAATAATAATTATTTGGCCAATAATTTGCCAAAGAAGCATTAAAATTTAAACTGATTTACTTGACATACTTGCTATACTATTGCAAGTTATGCAAAGTAAGCAAAGCTACTGGAAATAGTTAAAATATGTATATGCATAAATAATATATAATTAAATAAAATTAATAATAATCCATTTTATAATGCATTATAATATGATAAATATATCTAGTTGTTAATGTCTGTATGTTTAGTTTGAATCATATAAATGTGACGCATTATAAAAAACATAATTTAAAGTCTTGTTAAACACAGAAAAACAGAAGAATGCAATAAGTATTGTTTACTCAAGTTAAAAGTAATCGTAACTCTACGAGTTATGACAGCATCTTTAAAAGCGCATTCGTAAAACCCATGGTGCAGCATAAGCTATGAAAAAAAACCATGGTTCACCCATGGAAATTCCATGGGATTTTAATTTTCATGAAATTTACCTATGGAAATTCCATGGAATTTCCGTTTTCCATGGGAAAACCATGGTTTACTCATGGAATTCCAGGGGTTTACTCATGGAATTCCATGGGTTTTCTCATGGAATTCCATGGGTTTACTCATGGAACTCCATGGGTTTACTCATGGAACTCCATGGGTTTACTCATGGAATTCTATGGGTTTTTCCATGAAAATACCCATGGAATACTTTCGTAAGGGGTGTAACATGTAACGTATAATATGTAGCGTTTAACATTTAACCTGTAACATGTTACATGTAACATGTTACCTGTAACATGTTACATGTAATGTTTAATGTGTCGTATAGTAATATAACTGGCCAACAGCAAAAAAAAAATTTTTCCACGTAATATTGTATTTTGGATACTAAAACCAAAATTTGATTTTTCGCTGTGCTGTTTTACTTACATAAACCATGGAAATTCCTTTCGATGAATTGGAAAAGCATGAAGACAACTTTTAAATATCTATATAGCATCGAATTGTGAATTTCAAATGACGTCATTTTACAGAAAAACTGCTACACTACTACTACATTTTGTTGCCAACCTGTTGTTTTTGTTGCCAACCTAATGTGTTTGTTGCCAACCTGTTGTTTTTGATGCCAAACTGTTGTTTTGTTGCCAGCCTGTTGTTTTTGTTACCAACATGTTTTTTTTGTTAATAACCTGTTGTTTTTGTTACTAAACTGTTATTTTTGTTGTCAACCTGTTGTTTTTGTTGCCAAACTGTTGTTTTTGTTACTAACCTGTTTTTTTGTGTGTTGCTACCTTGTTATTTTTGTTGCCAACCTGTTGTTTTTGTTACCAAACTGTTGGTGCTAACCTTAAACTTGTTCAAGGGTTGTGTATAAACTTTTAAGTTCTGAAAGTGTTTATGTGTTAATTTTCCATTTCAGTTACTACATCCGATATTACCAAATACAATGTACAATTTTTAAAAAGTTATAAACAATATTTTTTGTTCACAAAGTATTAAATATAATTATGTTAAGTAAAAAAAAAATCAATTTTTAATTTTTTTAGAATGAATAAGAAATGAATGTATTGCAAAGCATAGTAAGTACTTGTCGACTTATCAAATTAGTTAATGGACTGAAACCAAATCTTAAAAAAATTTTGTATATTGTAATTATTTAGTCTATGTAAAATTTCCCTTTATTTGAAATTTTCATTTATTAAATTTTCATTTATTAAAGCTCAGCAGTAATTTAATAATAAAAGCAAAATGGGTCTAAAAATGAAAACTTGGAAGACAACGCATTCAGTTACAAGAAGTTTAGAGTTTTTATAATTATCAAAAATACTATAATATAAAAGACTATTTATCATGCTGTATTTTTTTTATTATTATTATTATTAAATAATTTTAAAAGCATAAAAGTATTTCGATTAAAATGCTTTGATAAAAATCATAAAGATAATAAAAATGCTAAAGTTGGCACAACTACATAAAAAATGGACCATCAATGAATGTAAAGATTGGAGCGAAACGTCGAAGTTTTAAATCTTTGATTTCAAGAGAAGATTTTTTGTCTTAAAAAAAGAAATCGTTGTCTTAAAAAAAGACTGTTTGTCTTAAAAAAAGAAATCATTGAATTTATGATAAAACAGTGTGAATTAACAACTGCGAAACATGGTGAATGTAGTGTTAAGGTGTGGGGCTGTTGTGGTCGAAATGCCACAAGTGACATTGTAATAGTAGAGGGAATAATGACAAAAGTTGTTCACTTGGACGCTTTTGAAAATTCATGTTATACCCAGAAACGGGTCTACAAATAAAATGAAGAGGAGGGGGGGGGAGTAAATCATTAAAAAGTACTGTAGTAAAAAAACTGGCTACTATAAAAAAACTACCGACTACTTAAATTGTACCGACTGGCTACTATAAAAAAAAAGGTCTTCAAAGCTAAAATTTAACCAACTGAACTTGAAAATCGCCTTCTTTTGGGGTTTAAACACCCACATACACACCCGTAAAATCGCCTCTGATTATACCTCTGGAAAGTATGGTTAATGGGAGGCCATTTATTTTTTTAGAAGAAAAGACTTGAAGCTTAAATCCAAAATATATTCTTCAAAACATTGTATAAGTTATTTGACTGAGTTCGAGAACAATAATGAATTGAATAAATTGGTTTAGCCTCCTTAACCGCCAGATCTTTTTCCTATCAAACTTTAATGTGATGAATTGAAAGTAATGTCAAAATTTAATACCTAATGATGCAAAAGATGTGGAAAATACTAATTAGTGAGTGGCATAAAATTGATTTCGACAAAACTTATTAAAAATTGTTCTTAAAAATAGCTAAAACAGCATCTCGATATATAAAAAAGTTCTTAAGTAGAATGCCAAGAATTTTTATGGCGGTTATTGTCGCTAAGGGTGATTGATAGGCAAGTAAATTGTTAACTAATCTTATGGGAATTTATATTAATTTTTATGTAAACTTAATAAATAAGAAAATAACATATAAGTCAGGTAGATTTTGTTTTCAGTTTATCTCCCAATAGTAAGTAAAACTTTGATATCTTATTATCAAAAATTATGACCATTCGAATAGTTATGGACAGTCAAAGGCGATTTTACGGGGGTTGTCCAACTCCCCCTCCCTCCCCCAAAGAAGTTGATTTTCAAGTTAACGACGATTTTACAAATTTAGTTGGCTAGTCGGGTATTTAACAAAATTCAATCGGTTAAATTTAAATTTTGAGGGCATTTTTTTTTTTTTCAATTTTTAAAAAGCCAGGCGGTTCTTTTTAAGGATAACCCTCTCCCCCTATTTTATTCGTAAAATCGGGTACCCTAACATCATACTTTTCAAATTTTTGATTTTGAATTCGGGGGATGATTTTAATAGTGCCACTATATGTAAAAATGAACTTCCAAAAAAAATTTTTAAAAAATAATTTTTACCTAGGCGGGATTGCAGTTTGCGAAAAGGTAAAATTGTTCATTTATGCATAAATTGAAGGGGAGTCAAAATTTTAAAGTTATTGAAATATGAAACTATTTAGATTTTTTTTATATATTACCATATGCTGTGAAACGTGAATAATTTTTTTTAAGTTTGAAATAAAATGTTAAAATATAAAATATAATGTTAAATTTTTTAAATAATAAGGACATTCATTGGATTTTTTTCATTAAAAAATTTCAGACTTTTTATGAATGACGTCTTTATAATTCAGACAAAATGACTATAATTAAAAGTGTATCTTAATATAGATGCTTTTATTTTACTGGGGGTTGAATTGTAAGTGATTTCAGACTATTACGACTTGATAGTTATGTTTTTTTAAGTTTATCTTTTACGAGTTTTATGAGTTTACTTTGTAATTATGTTTTTATGAGTTTTTCGTGGTTTAAAAACTGTATAAAAAGAGTTCTTGTTTTTATTTGCAATCATATAAATGAAAATTCTAATCATTATATTAAATTAACTATGACTACTTTAAAAAACACAAGACTCTCTATGGAAACAAAGTTATCAACATATTTAGGCAGAAGTAAGGACCTTATTCCGTTAGAAGTACCAACTTTAAGAGAAATTTTGAGAAAAGGTCTGGTTATCCAAGAAGCTCTACTTCGAGAAGAAGATGTTAACAGGTAATAATCAAGAAACTCAAAATTTATGAAACAAATTACGCATTTTGCATTATATTATATATTTTTGTTTTTAGAAGGAGTATCTCAGTGAGAGACCTTTCTCGACTACTAGCTGATATTGTTTTTCAGCAGTGAATGAAAGCAAATGCTCTTTTTAAACCTCCGGTGGTTATTGGAAAGAAAACTTTAATGGAAAAAATTTAATTTTCCTGGAACAAGATCAAAGATATAGCACATGGGAAAGCTTCTCAGGCACACGTGTCTTTTTGGGAATCAAAACTGGATCAACTGCTAGATATAACATGTTGCAAGTGTGAAATTATGTTATGTAACGAGTTGTGTTTGAAAACATATTCTTGCGTTGATCAAGTACATATTAAATGTACTTCCAAAGGTTAAACTTCCATGGCTTAATGCCCAAAGGGAAAAAAAAGGATCTATTTCAAAATACCAGATGGGTTTCAATGATATTAAAGAGACCGCGAGACAGTTTTTGCGAGAGGAGAAAAAAATGAAGAGGAAGTCTGGAGTAGAAAAAAAATTAGAAATGGAAAAAAATATATAAGGTAGAAAATGACGACGTTGTTGAATGTTTAATTGAGGATTATTCAGATTTAAAAAAGGAAAAGATTTCAGAAGATCCGCTTCAAAACAAGATTTGGAAAAAAAACTATATGTCAATAAGTCATTCTGCAGAAGTTTTAATAAGATATGATATTTCACCAGCAGCAACATCAGCTATTGTTACATCCTTTCTTCTAGACCTTATTGAAGCGAAGTATTTGACGCCTGACATGTCTTATTTAGCTGTTGATCCTATGAAAGTAAGAAGAGCAAGGGAAAAAATAACGGAGAGAGCAATAATGTGTAAAGAAAAGTTAATCGATGAAGAACCTATTAGAGGTTTGTTTATTGATGACAGGAAGGACTCAACTTTAGTGTTGGAACAGAATCCTCTAACAAATAAATTTCACATGAGGGCTATAAAAGAAGAAAATATAACTGTGACCTGTGAGCCTGATGGAAGATACCTCACTCATTACACACCACCTAAAGCTATACCGCCAAGCAAACCAGCCAAAGAAGCCGCATGTGCTCTTTACAATTGGATGGTTCCAAGGGCAATCCATAAGTCCTTAGAGGTTGTAGGCGGAGATTCTACAAACTCCATGACAGGTTCAGAAAAAGATGGAGGTTTGCTGTCAAATCTGGAACAATTAGTAGGGAGAAAATCATTATGGTCTATTTGTATGCTCCATTGTAATGAATTACCATTGAGGCACATAATTGTTAAACTGGATGGCCCCACTCATTCAAAGGATGGTTTTACTGGCCCTATTGGAAAAGCTTTATCTAAAGTCAATAGCATAAAAAGACTTGAAACGTTTGAACCTATAGAACAGCTGGAACTTTTAATTGAAATTCCCGAAAAAGTTCTCAAAACAATGTCGACAGATGCAACTCTCTGTTATAAGTTGGTACAATGTTTGTCCACTGGCAAGATGGACATGAATTTTTTTAAAGCAAAGTGTGGAAATATTTGCCACAGTAGATGGCTTACCACAGCAGAAACTGTCATTTTCTTCTATATGAGTGATCACATTTTCACTTGTGACGTTCTTCAAAAATTTCATTTAATCATTAAATGGGTAGCTCAAGTATATTTCCACATGTCGTATGAAATCAAAGTAAAACACAGTATTGTAGATGACCCAGGTCACTTAATAACACTGTTGCGACTGCTGAAAAAATAAGATAATGAAGTTCAAAATATTGCAACACAATACATTCAAAATGGAGCTTATTTCGCCCACTCGGAATCCCTTAAATTAACTCTTTTGTCAAGTTCAGAGGAAAAATCGAGGAAGTTTGCCATTAAAACAATTAAAGATATAAGGAAAACCTCGCAGTTCGGAGACACAGCTGTAAGGTCAAGAAAAAAGGTTTTTCTCAATACGGAAGCTTTGTCTATCAAAGAGCCAATAGATTGGGAGAAGGAAAAAATATCAGAACCAGTGTTTACGTGCCAAATCTCTACATACGATTTTGACAAATATCTGGTCACTCACTTTGAAACTCCGTACTTTCCTCTTCACACGCAATCTTGTAAAAGGGCAGTAAAAGAAGTTACAGAAATAGCACTTTCCGTTTGTGGTTTTGAAAAAAGAGACGGTTTTGTGAGAGCATGAATGAATAACAGAAAAACTTTGCCCGAGCTTAAATCAAAAAAAAATATTTAGTTACCTTTTTATAACAAAATTGTAAACAAAAACATTTTTATGGCAATAATATAAATTAAATTTGTTTTGTATTAAATGTTGTTAAGCTAAACGATGTTGTTAAGTTAAACTATAAAAACGCCATTCCAACAAATAAAGTTTAAAAATTTATTATGAAAAAAATTCCAATTTTTACATTTTTTTTTCAATCTTATAAAGCCTTTTTCCCCGCGAAAATATTTTTTTTTAGAAAAAAAAATTGTTCACGTTTCACAGCATATGGTAATATATAAAAAAAAATCTAAATAGTTTCATATTTCAATAATTTAAAAATTTGACCCTTTCCCCTTGCATTTTTACATATAGTGGCACCATTAAAATCATCCGCCGAATTCAAAATCAAAAATTTGAAAAGTATGATGTACCCTATATATATATATATATATATATATATATATATATATATATACAGAGAGTGTATATATATATACAGAGAGTATAT